ATACGCACTGACCGGAGGTCACCGTATCGATTACGGTCGCCAGCGAGAATAGCGAGAGCTGCACACGTGTTTGTACGGCAAATAATACTATACGTTACTACTATACTATATAAGTACCGCAGTCCTTGTGTCTCCACTACTCCTCATCTGCGACTCTCCCTGATGATGTCTTCCATGGAGAACCAGAGACATCAAGCCAATAAACTGCTTGCTCCAGCGATAACATTTATTTCTTTGTGTCCTTCTGAAGCTTAAAGCATTATTTCCCAGGTAAAAATATAAAGCTACATTTTGATTCTCCTGACGTTTTGGATTCCGTCGGGAATTCTTAATCATACAGTAGTCGCCAAAGATCACACAACATGTCGACAGATGCGAAAGATTGATACTCTTTCGCTAATTGGCATTGACTCAAGTTTTGATACTGATTATTGTGTAGTCTCTTCTGAAGTCATTTCAGTCATTATAGGATGCGGGCTGTTGAACGAGCTTTGCTCTGACGACTAGCAAAACTCCTCTACCTTAACAAATGGCTACTTAAGTAGTATGACTTTATATCATTTATTTTAAGTGCCTCTATAAATTCAGATATATTTTATAGAAAAAAATGCACGAAAAAAATATTTATTGTACTTCTTTGATAACAAAGTACGCCTTCTTAAAATTTTAAAATCAAAGAAAGGGTAGATTTTGGTTTTAAAAAAGTTGCCAATCATAAGCTTTTTTACAATTGTGAGGTGTTTATTCATAATACATCGTACCCGTCAATTTATTAATGCTGCCTATGTTGCATAAAATATGTTCCATATCTATTGCAATATTTTATGACAACTATGTGACTTCTTCCTCAAGCTGTAGATGAAAACGTACTTTTCCTTAAACAGGATGTACACAATGTGCAGTTTTTATACCTTGAACTTCGAGTGTAGCAGTCACTAGGTTAGAAAGTTATTCGACAGTTGAGCAACTTTTTTAACGCCGAAAGCTATTCTTTCTTTGAATAAACAATTTCAAGAAGATGTTGTTTGCCATCAAACATGTTCAAGAAATAATTTTTTCGTGCATGTTTTCCATAAAATATATTTGGAGTTATAAAGGCAGTCAAAATAAAGGATATAAAGGCATACTACTTAAGTAGCCAGTTTTTACAATAGATATGTTTTGCTAGTGGTCAGAACGAAGCTCGTTAAAAGCCTGCATCCCATCATGACCGAAATGACTTCAAAAAAGACTACACGATAATCAGTATCAAAACTGGAATCAATGCCGATTTGCGAAGGAGCATCAATCTTTCGCCTATGTCGACTTGTTGCGTGATCTTTGGCGACTACTATAGGTATTGGTAGGACACCTCGAGCCATGCACAGATAAGGGTGAAACATGCACAGATCGCACGATATGAACTGGAAAATCGGCAACCCAAGAAGTATAATTCGGTGGAAGAGGTTCTTTGAGAAACAGTGGTTTATTGTGTTAATTTTCGATATCACTTGTCCGAGGTCACCATGCACACATTAGAAACTGGGCACCAATTTGCATGGGACGAAACTTGCATTGTTGGCCCTTATCCATATAAGAAAGGCCGCGAGTTTTTAGAAGCCATCAACTCCGACGACTCGTCCATCAACAGGCACGAGACGACAGCCTATCCGGAATAGAGGAAGCGAAAACCAGCTAACACCGACCGCACGATTAATTGCGGTGGACAATTAGTGCCCGACCATACATAATTACATGAGGGTGACAAATAATCTTCCCCACTGACCGCACAATCACATGCGGGTGAAGATTATGGACTATTACCTTGCCAACTATATAAGCTTCTATCAGCCATCATGTTGAATTAACTGTTTTGTACAATTTCCATCCGTCCGACGACAACCTGGTGTGTCAGCGTCGAATATTTACACAATAAACCACTGTTACCGTAAAAACTCCAAGATTGCACGATATTTATAGTTCTTAGCAGTCATCCACGTGCGTACTATAATTATCCGTCCGTTTCCCGTAGTCCCCGCTTGAAGTCTTTACTGGTGCGCCGATGGCTTGAAACTTCGCGTTCGCCTCATTTTTTGCCGTGATTTCCTTGTCCGTGTCGGATGCGGGCTTGGTAATTGCGTAACAATTATGCTCGCTGTTGTCCGAGTTATTACCGGGCCTGGCCCTTCCCACGTGACTGATTCTCTTGCTCAGGCAGTTTCTAAGTGCGTAGAAGGGAAACGTCAGATTGCTGCCATTGTTGATAGACTGAGGACCAAGACTCGAAAAGCTCGCCATTCACACGGTTCCTACCTCTTGCGCGGAGTTGGGCCTCGTTAAACTTGAAAATATGACTGGGTCCCGTCAAATGAGCTGCAACCTTTGAGTTGGCGTCCTTTTTTCTCATCGCCGCTGCATGCTCGGCCATTCGCGTCCAGAGTAACTCCTTGTTCCTCCGACGTAGTTGTTTTGTCCACAACTGCAACAGATCCGTTAAACGACTCCAACCGTTTCCTACCATGCAGTGGGTCTTTTGGTCTCATGACCCAGCGCATAATGGTTGCTTCTGGCTTGTGCGCAACTCCAACTCAAAGAGGGATGAGCAGACGACTGACCGCTTCCGATACATTCTTTACGTACGGAAGAGCTCGTCAAACTTTTGGGCCAGTTGGATGTGGTTTCTTCTCTCGTCTGAGTAGGAATTGGTTGACAAAATTGCGCAGGGTAACCATTCGATTTCAGTATCCGTGAAAGATATTGTAATTCAGCAATTTTGTCTTCCACTTCGCTGCAATGCATCTCAACGCGCCGGTATAGCGCTCTT